GCATTCCATTGCATTCTTGACAACTTTCAATTTCCTAGATTCATAATCATATATTCCATGTTCCAATTATTAATTGATGCTTGCAGCTGTTTCTCCTCATTTTGATTTGTGACCCACCCACAAATGAATGTCCCAAAAGGTTTACTCCAGTTGCGTCATCATGGTCACATCTACTTTGAGAAGGCAGCTCTTTCCCAGTAGTGTTTTAAGTGCCTTCCAACTTCAGAGTCTCATCTTCTGGAACTATATATGACAATATTCTGGTGATATTCATGTTTTCATCTTACAGAACTTCATCTCACAAATAGTCATAATATAATCAAACAATGATGGAGGACTCAAATAAATGGGTACTGGTGTGATGCTGTAGGATAAGCACTGGATCTCTAACTGCATGGTCAGCAGTTCAAATCCACTAGCTTATTGACAGGAGAAAGATAAGGCTTTCTGATCCCATAAAGATTTACGTCCTCAGAAATCCTATGCAGGCTCGCTATGAATCGGAACCAACTTTGACAGCACACAACCACCAAGTGAAACTAAAGCCTCCAAATGTAAGGCCTCCATTGTTCTTGTTGCTAAATCCTGTCAAGAAGCAGCTGGTGGGTTTGAACTGCTGACCTTGCAGTTAGCAGTCCAGTGCTTATCCTATAGCATACATTTAAGACCCAACAGAATGTGAAAACCAGTATCATTAATATCCCATGCAAGTAAAATTTTGATGAAAATAATTTTAAAAGTTGCAAGAGCAAAATGACTGAGAACTGCTAGATATTCAAGCCATATTCAAAATATGTGGAATAGGGATATCATTGCTGATATCAGATGGATCTTGGCTGAAAACAGAGAATACCAGAAAGATGTTTACTTGTGCTTTATTGACTAAGCAAAAGCTTTTGACTGTGTAGATCATGACAAACTATGGATAACATAGGAAAAAATGGACATTCCAGAACATTTAATTGTGCTTATGAGGAACCTGAACATCATCCAAGAGACAGTTATTTGAACAGAACAAATGGACATACTGCATGGTTTAAAATCAGGAAAGGTGTGTGCCCAGGGTTGTATCCTTTCACCATACTTATTCAATCTGTATGTTGAACTAAATACTCAAGAAGCTGGATATTAATGGAAACCTGGCATCAGGATTGGAGAAGAATAAATAACAACCTACGATATGCAGATAATACAACCTTGCTTGCTGAAAGTGAAGAGCACTTAAAATACTGATGAAAATCAAAGACTACAGCCTTCAGTATGGATTGCAACTCAATGTAAAGAAAACAAAAATCCTCAGCAAATGAACCAATTCATAACATCATTATAAATTAAGAAAAGATTGAAGTTGTCAAACACTTCAATTTCCTTGGATCCAACGATAAACACTCATGGAAGGAACAGTCAAGTAACCAAATGATGTATCGCATTAGGCAAATCTGCTACACAAGATCTCTTGAAAGTATTCAAGAGCATATATTAGTTTGATTAAAGTACGCACGCCTGACCCAAGCCATGGTATTTTCAATGGCCTCATATGCATGTGAAAGTTGCACATTGAATAAGGAAGACCATAGAACTGATGTGTTTGAATTATGATGTGGAAAAGATTATTGAAAGTGCCATGGACTATCAGAATTACAACATGTGTTGAAGTAGAGTCAGAATGCTCCTTAGAAACCAGGATGGTGAGACAATTTCTCTCAGACTCTGGGCATGTTATTAGGAGGTACCTTTCTTTCCCTGCAGGTAAAGATAATGTAACAATTGTGAGTGTGCTGCAGAGCTGCATTCTGTCGTACACATAGGGTCACTGTAAGTTAGAGACGATTGCATTAGATGGCTTTGACTTTAAAACGTTAACTCCTAATGTCATTAGCAAGATTTTATTTACAATGTAGATTGCCAAATTTCAAAAGGGAACCAAGGGAGAACTATCAAACTTATATACCCACTGTTTCCTTACAATTATTGTATTCAAAGCTGTTAGAATTTCTTCTAGTCTTCTCTTGCAATCGCAGAATGTATTAGGTAAATACTTCACTCGATTTGTTTTAATAATAGAACTCTAAGAGATAGTTGCCAGCCAAAAGTTTATCAGTAACCCTTTTATATTGTTTGCTATTTTAAAATATCAGATAATTTCTGCATTCTGCTAAAGGGTTCTTCAAATTTCTTTAAAAGTTCACACATGGAAAGTACTCTTTCCTGTTATCTACTCTTGAGAGGTGGACAGATGAATAGGGTTGCTTTAGGGTAAGGAGATGTTTTCCAATTGAGCTTCTTGAATCTAGCTTTAAATATTCAAGAAAAATGCATCTTGATCTGTTGGGATTCACACAGGGCAAGCTACGTTCTAGACAATCCTTCAGAATCAAGTGCTCTTCATGGTTTCACCTTAAAGTTGTAAGGGGATGCAGACACCTGGAGTTAAGGTCACTCAGTGCCTTACCTGTAATAAAATAAATATATGGGGCTGAACACAGAACAAGTCTGGGGCATCAGGAGGAAAGTTCAGCAGCATAGGATGATTTTAAGGCAGACCTGATATACTCAGTTTTCATTTAACAGGAACAGAGAGCTATTGTAGGTCCTGAGTAAGGCAGTGGGCAAGAAGACATTTGGAATGATTGGTGAAACATTGTAACATGAAAAACGTAACCATGAGACAACCTATTGGGGTTCACCAAATATTTTTATGCTTTTTTACTTTCCTAGTATGTAGATATGAAGCTCTGGTAATGTAGTGGTTACGAATCGGGCTGCGAACTTCAAGGTCGGCAGTTCGAAACTACCAACTGTTCCGCAGGAGAAAGATGAGGTTTTCTGCTCCCATAAAGATTTACAGCCCCGGAAACCCTATACAGGGTCTCTGAGTTGGAACCGACTCCACGGCACATAACAACAGTATGCAGATGTGGCTCTGTGGGTTAATGTGCTGGACTGCAAAGCCATTTGAACTGCAAGGTTGGTGGTTCAAGCTCACCAGCTGCTCCTTGGAAACCCTCTACAGGGTTGTATAGCTCACAACTGACTTGACGGCACTTAACAAGTATGCTCTGGTAGCGTAGTGGTTACGAATTGGGTTGCGAACCTTACGGTCAGTGGTTCGAAACTACCAGCCGCTCCGCGGGAGAAAGATGAGGCTTTCTACTCCCGTAAAGATTTACACCCTTGGAAACACTGTACAGGGTCTCTATGGGTCGGAACCGACTCGACGGCACTTAACAACAACAACAACAACAAGTATGCAGGTGCTGGGTTCTGGCCTGAGATATGACCAGAAGTGATGAAAACCTGGCCTAACAATATACCAGAACATCCTTCAGCTTTTTCTTCTTCCAAAAAGACCTTGAAGCCACATGTTCTAAATTAATGAGGAAGGAGTAAGTCAGACTGACCCATGCAGACTTTTACATAAGAAATACATTTTATTATTGCCTGTAGTTTAGCATATCCCTCTTTAATAATGAATGGGGAAGAACTTGAATTAGGATATAACTACTTGAGGATATAAGCCTGAGATGATAAAGGTATAAGCTGTTGTGAAAATTTGAGAATTTGAATCCAAGTGTTTTGAATGGAGAAAAATTGGACAACAGAAAAGTAATTAGTCCAGACAAATATTTATTGAGCACCTATTATATAGGAGCCCTAATGGTATAGTGGGTTAAGCACTGAGCTGCTATCTACAAGGTCAGTGGTTCAAACCCACCCGTGGCTCCAAGGGAGAAAGATGAGGCTGTTTGCTCCCATAAAGATGTAGTCTTGGAAACCCTCCAGAGCAGTTTTAGCTTTCCTACAGTGTCAGAGTTGGAATCAACTTGATGGCAGTTAATTTGGCTTTTTTGTTTGGTGTATTATATGTAAGGCACTGTGTGACAAAGACATGTACGTCACACCTCCAAGTGCTTACAAGCTAGTTGAGGAAATAATACATGTTCACAAATTATAAAACAAACCTAATGGATTCTGAAAGTATAACCTGTATTTTAAGACCTGGTTTCACACTTTACTAGCTGTGTTCCTTTGGGTAAGCTATTTAACCTCTCTAAAGTTCATTTTTCTCATCTGTAAATGACTATAATAAAAAATATCCAAACTAGTTGCCACTGAACAGATTCCAACTCTTGGAGATCACATGAATTGCAAAGTAGAACTGCTCTCCATAGGGTCTTAAAGGCATAGCACCTAAAAGCCTTTTTCAAAGGCACCCCTAGGTGGGTTTGAACTGTTGAGTAGTAGTCAAGTACTTAACCATTTGTACCACACAAAGACTTCCTGAGGACAATAACTACTTAATAAGGTTGTTGAGAAGGATGAAGAACCTCTTCCTTGTAAAACTTTGAATTGAGTGCTTAACCCATAATAAGCAGTATTTTTACTAGTAGTATTAAAATAACTAAAAGTGAAGTCAGTGCCTAAAAACTCTAAGTGTAAGGGATTAGCAGCTGTAAAAGAACTGTGCTGGAAACAACAGTGCTGCTCTGATGTAATTTTACCTTTTCCCTCCTGTTGCAGTGTCTAGGTCTTTAAAGTGCGGTCATACTTGGGGCCTGAATTCTCAAGTTCAGACAAGAAGTATGTCTGAGTATCTCTTCTTAACATTTATCCTGTTAACATTAATAAGACAAACTTATCCAAAATTTTAGATCTTTGGAGCTATATACCAATTTCAGGCATCCCACATCAATTCTATAACAGATATAGAGTGTTTATTCAAACACTGTGGTGCAGAGGCAGGAGGGGCAAATACAGTATTTTTTTAATGCAAATAACAGGCATTGTACTCCTTTTTTTGTAAACTGGCCAACCCCCTCACACATTAGTTTTCTATGTGTGTTATGTACGCTGTATGCACATACACACTATATGCACACACAAAAAGTAACTAGTAACTATAATGGTGGAATGATCACATGGTGAACTTAAGATAGGTCTTCCCTATCTTGAGTTTTTATGGTGGTTCTTTTTTTGTCTGACTAAAATGTTCACCCAATTCAATCTATTCCCTGTTTGGCATAGCGTCGTTGATGTTGAATAACTGATGATTTTGAACTGAAAACTTTTCCACACACACTGCATTCGAAGGGCTTCTCTCCTGTATGAACTCTCTGATGTCTAGTAAGCCGGCATCTCTGGCTAAAGGCTTTCCCACATTCACTGCATTCATATGGCTTGTCTCCAGTATGAATTTTTTGATGCTGAGTAAGGGGTGAGCGGTCAAAGAAAGCTTTCCCACACTCATTACACTGATAGCGAGGTTCTCCAGTATGAGCTTTTCTGTGTCTATTCAGTGATGAGACACCATAGAAGGCTTTCCCACACTCATTACATTCATAAGGCTTCCTACCAGTATGGATTAGCTTATGTCGAGTAAGGATACTTTTTTGGCTAAAGGCTTTCCCACATTGATTACATTGATATGGACTTTCTCCAGTGTGGATTCTCTGGTGTCGAGTAAGAGATGAACGGTCAAAAAAGGCTTTCCCACACTCACTGCATTTAAAGGGCTTCTCTCCAGTATGGATTCGGTGATGCACAGTGAGGGACGAACGGTCGAAGAAGGCTTTTCCACACTCACTACATTCATATGGGCTCTGCCCAGTGTGGGACATCCGATGTCGACTGAGACTGCTCCTGTGACTGAAGACTTTCCCACACTCATGACATTTATAGGGCTTCTCTCCAGTGTGAGTCCTCTGGTGGCGGGTAAGGGATGAGTGGTCAAAAAAGGTCTTCCCACAGTCACTGCATTCTTGGTCTCGCTCTTTAATAAGAATGTTTTTGGAAGGAAATGACCCTTCCTGCAAGCTTTTGTCTTGGAAAAAGGATTTCTTGTAAATTTCCACTTCAGAGTTTTCCTCCTCTGTTTCCAACCCATCCTCTGATATGTAAACTTCTAACTTAGGACATATAGGGCCTTTATTTTCAAAACTTTCTCTCAATGTTTCTTCAGAGATTTCTTCTTCTGAAGTATCTTGACTCTCATGCTTAGTCACCAAATCTGAAACAAACAGAAAATACAAATGCAGTTTCTTTGCCAGGTCAAAAGAGGCAAATAATACAGTGGAAAGAGAGATACTGTAAGAAATCTAAAAGTAATGTATGAGCACTACATGGCTCACTCTCAAGAATGGTACTGGACTCTAGGGAACAAAGAAATCAGAAAAATAGAACTGACAGTGGAGATCTCAGAAAACAGGGGACTGTCCACAGGAAACATGGCAAGGATAATTTGGAAAGCATGTTGAATGGAGAGGGTTGTAATAAATGGAAAGATCAAAGTCTGAGTGGACAATATGACATAGCTGAGAAAATAAACATAGCATAAACATAGATGGATAACGTTTTATATGTAGTTTTATTTGTAGTAGGAAAATGAAAGTTGGTGAGTGATGTAAACCATTAAAGCAAATTTGAGGAAAAGAGTGATACCCCAATAATCCCCCCATACTCCCAAACAACCACCACAAAACAACACAGACTAGTGTTCTGCAATGTTCACACTCAATTACCTAGAGACACATTCTCTGGACATTCTCTCTCCTCAGATTCATGAAGATCAACTACCCATGCCTCTTCCTCTTTCTTCAAGTGAAAAATCACATCAGGCTGAGGAACTGGAAGTCCTGCTCATGGAGAAAGAAACAAGCCATGGTGGCAGCATGGGATAAAAGTACATAACTGCTCCAAAGAGTAATCCCGGCCTCTTAGTCTCACAGAAAGAAAGCGAACAAGGCAAAAAGTACTTATCAGGAATGTAGAATATAAACTGCAGCAACTTCTGAAAGGAGATTAAGACTGAGGTTCCTGAGCTTCAGCCCCAAGAACAAGTAGCACTTGGTCAGAAAGTTAGTAACATCCATTTGATGTTATGAATATTCCTATTATTGCCCTTGAGGTGAATGGGAAGTTTGCGTCTTAGCAAACTTAGCAGCTGGTGGGTTTGAAACACGGACTTTGTGGTTCAAACCAACCTTATGGTCCAGTGCATTATCCTGCACTGGATGGGGAAAGAGTTTTTGACTCAAGGAAAGTGAGAATGAAAATGATCATCCTGAGCAAAAAAGACGTGTAATGAAAATGTCCGTTTGTATATGTTTATCTTTTATCTTTATGTTTTTATTTAAACATGTAAGTCATATTCATTGTGGGAAACTGGAGTCTTGGTGTGGTGCTATGGGTTAATGCGCTGGACTGCAAAGTCAGTTGGTGGCTCAAGCTCACCAGATGCTCCTTGGAAACCCTATACAGGATTGCTATGGGTTGGAAACAACTTGATGGCACTTAACAACAACAACAAAACAAGTTAAGTAGTCCTAGTGTCGTGCTGTAGCATAAGCACTCAACTGCTAACCATAACATTGGTGGTTCAAACCCACCAGCTGCTCCTTGGAAACTCTATGTTGGGTAACTATGAGTCAGAAGTGACTCTACAGCACTTAATAACATACAAGTAAAAACAAAAATCACCTTTCAAACTCATGTAATCATTTTTTTTTTTTTCATTCTATTCATATTGGTACCAAAAGAACTCTAGGTATTTTCTGCTACAAATTGGATGATGAAATACATGCTGAGTTTTTTCACTTAACAGTAAACGAAAAGTATTCTTTAATTTCAATTAGCACAGATCTACGTCACCATTTTCATGGCTACATGATATTACACTGTTATGTTGTTGTTTTTGTTGTTATGTGCCATGGAGTCGGTTCCCACTCATAGCGACCCTGTACAGGGCTTCCAAGTCTTTATGGGAGCAGAAAGGCTCATCTTTCTCCCGCAGAACAACTGGTAGCTTCGAACTGCTGACCCTGAGGTTAGCAGCCCGATTCGTAACCACTACACTACCAGAGCTCCTTACATTGTATGGAATAACATAATCCATTTAAACAATGTCCTACAGGTTAGATATTTAGATTGCTTTTAATGTTTTGCTATTATCATATAATGGTATGATGACAAACTGTATACACCATGAGCTCCTAAACTTCTTATTTCCCTAGGATAAATTCCTAGAAGACAGCCTATCCATTTTGCTAATATGAAAAACAGATCCCCCTCCTAGAAATAGAATTAGGGTCGAAACTTTCTTTTATTGGGGTCCCTCCATGGAAAAGAAAAGCATTTCCCCCCCTAAACTTTATTGAAGCCCTGGTGTGATGCTGTAGGATATGCACTCAACTGTAAGGTTGGTTTGAACCACAAGGTCGGTGGTTCAAACTCACCAGCCACGCCTTGGAAACCATAACAGAGTTGCTATGAACTGGAACCAACTTGATGGCACTTAACAACAACGAACTTTATTTGGAGTCCGGTGTGGTGCTGCAGGATAATGCACTGGACCAAAAGGTGGATTTGAATTACAGAGTCGGTGTTTCAAACCCACCAGCTGCTCCTCGGAAACCCTAGACTGGGTAGCTCTGAGTCAGAGACGACTCAACGCACTTAACAACAACAACAACAAACTTTATATTGTTATTGTTGTTGCGAATACACACAGCATGTTGTTGTTTCCAAGGAGTGGTTGGTGGGTATGAACTGCCAACCCTGCAGTTAGAAATCCAGTGTTTATTCTATGGCGCCACACCAGGACTACACATACACAGGATGTCAACAGTTTCTACAAGTGCGATGTAGTGGCATTCTTTCAGTTGTGTAACCATTGTCACCCTCCTCTTCTGAGTTGTTCCTCCTTCATTAATATAAACCCCCTGTCACCTGAGGTTCCTATCTAATTAGGAAGGCACTTTTTTATTGGGCTAAGGAAAATTTATCATATGTTGATTCTTTGCTGACAAAACAGTCGCATCTATGATCTTCCTATGGCTTTGTCTCTGACCTCAGGAATTCTATTTTTCCCAGTATTTCATCATTCCAAAGCTATGACAAATGGTCAATGGCTTCCTTTAATGCTTTCTGAATATTCTGTTCTGTTTTTCATATTTGAACAGAACATTTAAAAAAATGTAAGCAATTTTTTTTTTAATCTGCCTTATGTGAATTCCATAGTGTGGCACTTTTTACTGCCATTTGCTGCTTATTTTAAACTGCTTCCAAATCTATGCATTTACTCAGCATGTTTCTCTTAGTTCCCGAGATGTTTTCATTACCTACTTCCCTTTTCCCTAATAACTGCTAGCGGCAGTAGCACCAAATTTTCCCTTAGGGTCTAAAGTTAGGATCTAAACTTCCTTTTATTGGGGTCCCTTCTTGGGAAAGAAAAGCATTTCCCCGCCTAAATTTTATTGAAGCCCTGGTGTGACGCTGTAGGATATGCACTTGACCACAAGGTTGGTTTGAACCACAAGGTCGGCAGTTCAAACTCACCAGCCATGCCTTGGAAACCCAAGTTGGTGGAACCAACTTGACGGCACTTAACAACAACGAACTTTATCTGGAGTCATGCCATCTCTATTAACTACAAAGTGCCTTCTGTGGACATCTTTCTTAGGCTGTCCCTAAGACATACACTGAAAATCAAATACAACTCTAATGACTTACTTAGACTCATAATCCTATATTCCCAACCTTCTCTTTTAAAGAGAAACATTTCTCTCTCCCATCTTCTATAAAGAGAAATTTTCCTTCAATAAGATGGAACCTGACCCCACCTATACTCCTCTGGCTGGAGCCACGCACGTTACCTGACTAGTGAGGTGAGTGAAGAGCTAAGCCTGTGTAACCTGGCCTCTCTTCTTCTCCCCTTTCTTGAGCCCCAGCTTCCTGCATCAAGCACCTATTCTGCTCTGCTCCTCTGGGCTCTACATTTTGTAGGGGCAGCTGCTAAGCAAAGGAGCCTGTACATGTCCAGTACTGCTTATGATGAGCTAGATGAGCAAGTCTACCTAATACCCACTGTTGTTGTATACCTACACCATGTCTACACTTTTACCTTGTCTCAGTTGGTTCAGAACTCAGGGGAGTGGGCAGGAGGTATTAATTTACTAGGTCTTAACAGATTCTAACTCCTATGGGAAGCTATCCTTACCCAATGAGACAATGCTTGTATAGTTCTCCAGCATCACCTCCTTGTAGAGATCTCTCTGAATGGGTACCAGATGTCCCCACTCCTCCTCTGTGAAGATTATGGCCACATCCTCGAATGTCACTGGTTCCTGAAAACACAATCACATTCTCCTTCATTCACAAGCCTTTCCTTTACATGGATCAGACGGACGAACAGAAACAATAGCCCAAGATGATGAAGAGAGAGAGGGGAAGGAAATGACTCTGGCAATGTTGGGTTTTGAAACATTTGGGAAAAGTGGTGTAATCATCTGAAGCACTCGTGAAGTTCTTGCCCATAATCCCACACCACTATACTCACAACTGAGTCGCCCAATACTGGGGCCCTTTTTTCTCACAGAAAACTTACAAGAACAAACTAAGAATTCCTGTATACCCTTCATCCAGTTTCCTGAAATGTTAACCTGTTCCACATATGCTTTATGCTCGCTCTCTCGATATATACATTTTTTTAATATATAAAAACTTTTATATATATATAAAAAACCATATATATATATGGAGCTCTGGTAGCGTAGTGGTTACGAATCGGGCTGTGAACCTTAAGGTCAGCGGTTTGAAACTACCAGCTGCTCCGCGGGAGAAAGATGAGGCTTTCTACTCCTTTAAAGATTTACACCCTCAGAAACCCTGTACAGGGTTGCTATGGGTCGGAACCGACTCGACGGCACATAACAACAACAACAAATATATATATATATGTAAAAGTACATATATAGAGAGAACATATTTTTCCCCTGAACCTTTAAGAGGAAGTTGCATATATGATGCCCCTTTACTCCTAAATCTTTCCATGTATATTTGTAACAAAGATATTCTCTTATATAACTACAGTGTAACTATTAAAATCAAGAAAATAAAGTTGCTATCATATTATTATATAATCTAAAAACCTATTCAAACTGTATGTATCTTAATTCTATTCAAAAGTCATCAGTTGTCCTTTTTTATTTAGACAAATTCTTCAATAATGATGTTGGATTAGATCATCTTTAGGATCTCTTCAGCTCTCATTTTCTGTGATTCTATGAGGTATCTTTACCCCCACCCACAGAACCCTTCATTTACCTGGCTGGGCCAAAGAAGTTCCAGGATGGGGAAATAAGATGAATAGAGTATTTCAGAAAAACAAAAATCTACGTCACCTGGCATCTGGTGGTTGGAGACACAGCAGCCATTCCCTTCTGTGTGTTCCCCCTTTAGAAAAGGGCAGGGTCCTAATGAGGCAGAGGTGTGGGGTGACAAAGAAGGTGTGAGAGGCCAGTCCTGTTGTGTAGTTTTCTGACCCTTGAAATAAAAAATCTCTATGTACCATCCCCACACTCTATACCCTACAAAAAGTGGGTAAAAGAGCTCAGAGGCAACACCAACCCACCCCAGAATTAGAGTAGCAGGCCATATAGGTAATGCTATTTAGGATGCATATGGTATGTCTTCTACCATGGTATGTCTTCCTATCCTTAGAAATCAAGAACATATTAAAGTCCATACTGTCTATAAATTCATATTCAGTATGCCTGAGTGACTGATTGGCAGTAACAATTTCATAAATGATTCTATAGACTAGACATCAAGAACCCAGGTTATTTTCAAAAGAAAAATGCCTCATTCACATCCTATTCTGAGGTAGTTCACCCCCACTTCCCCATTCCCTCTACTCCCCACAGGCATGTTTTACACCTTATAACCCTGTGTTTCCCCACTGGAGTCATACTAACTAGGCTGCAGGTAGATCACTATGAGTCAGAATTGACTTGGCACAGAACAAGATTATAACATGACCTTTTGCTAATACATTTACTTAGCACACTATTCTAAAAACTGTAGGTATCTTACTCTATTTAAGCCTTATAATTGTATGAAACAGATTATTTCAGTTGTTCCAATTTTGCTGTTGTTAAGTGCCATCTAGTTGGTTCTGATTCCACAGTGATCCTGAATAGGGTTTCCAATTTTACAGGTAGTCAAGTAAGACAGTGGTTAAGGAATTTGCCTAAAACTATGTGGCGCTGTGCTCTAATTCACTGGACGGCAAAGTCGGTTTGAAAGGCAAGGTTGACAGTTCAAGCTCATTAGCCACTCCTTGGAAGCACTATAAAAGGTCACTATGACGGCACTTACCAACAAGAATACAGATAGGAAGACACAGAGCTAGAATTTCAGCCAGTCTAGTTCCAGGGCTTGTATTCCTAAAGATGATAATTTACTGTATCTGTGTACTAATACTGACATCTGTCTAGGGCTAGATAGTGGCCTCTCAGGATGTAAGAATCTTAAAAGACCAAAAAGGAGAATAATATTGCCTGAGACTAGCAAAAATTACAAGCTCCAGTTATCAAATGATATTTGTTTTCATTTGTGTATATATATATATATATATATATATATATATATATATCACTCTGCCTTTTCCCTGGGTTGAACTTCTTTATTTTTAGTTATAGTAAATGTTTTTCTGATAAGCTTTTTTTCTTTAATTCAAGCCTTTCAAAAGGGGTTTTTCTTTAATTCAAGCCTTTTGCAAACTGGGGTTCTCCTCAAGCTGATATTCATTTAAAGTATTGCTTGTTGTTAAGTGCCAATGAGTTGGTTCCGACTCATAGCGACCCTATGTATACATATATTTTCAAAAAGCAGCTGGTGGGTTTGAACTGCTGACTTTGTGTTTCACAGTCCAGTGCAGTCCTATAGCACCACACTTGGTGAGTGCTAAATAATCAACACATTGTCCAGGAAATATATACTGATCCGGTCTTCAGGCATTTCTGACAACTGAACCATGCTTTATGAGTAGTTTGAAATTAATAAGGCCACTTGGAAGAATCACCTCCTAAGGGTTTGTTGTTGTTAATTGCTGTTGAGGCCATTCCAACCCATGGCAACCCCGTGTATACAGAAGAGAACGGACGGCTCTGTGGGGTTTTCAATGTTATGACCACTTGGAAACAGATTGCCAGACTCTGAATGGGTTTGAACTACCAACCTTTCAGTTAGTAGTCTAGTGCTTAAACATCTGTGTCACTCAGGGAGTCCTACAGACGATACATACAACTAGGTAGGAAAAAAAAAAAAGGTTTTTAGCTTTCTTTTTTTGATCATTTTATTATAGTTTAGGTGAAAGTTTACATAGCAAATTTGTTTTCCAATCAATAATTCATACACAAATTGCTACATGACATTGGGTGCAATCCCCACAATGTATCAGCACTCTCCTTACTTCCTCTCTGGGTTCCCCATTCATCCTTTTTCCCTGTTCTTCACTGCCTTCTCATTTTTGATTTTGGGCAAATGTTACCCTACTGGTCTCCTAGAATTAACTGGTCTAAGGAGCAAGTTCTTCACCAGCAGTACTGTTTATGTTGCTGTTAGGTGCCATTCAGTCAGTTCTAATTCATGGTGACCCTATGCACACTAGGACGAGACACTGCCCCGTCCTATGCCATTCTTACTACTGTTGTTACACTTGAGCCCATTGCTACTGTCACTATGCCAATCCATCTCATTGGGGGCCTTCTTCTTTTTCTCTGATGCTCCACTTTACCCAGCATGATGTCCTTCTCTAGGAACCTGTCCCTCCTGATAACATGTCCAAAATTTGAGAAAGGAAGTCTCGCCCTCCAAACTTCTAAGGAGCAGTCTGGCTGTGCTTCTTCTAAAACAGATTTGTTTGTTTTATAGGCTCATCCATTATCTGGACTAGGATAGTAGCTTCCGTTTCAGATTGAGTTGTCCTAAGGCAATAAATAGTCTCAGGGGAAAATGCATGCTTCCTGACAATCCACACAGCTCCTGGCTGTTATGTGCAGCACCAGTGCTAGTTAGTCATTCCCCTTGGGGGACTGTAGCTCTTATTTCTGGAATTATTTGGTTTATCTTCACTCCCTAGGATTCTTTTTCCACCCTATACAAATATCTATACCAAGGATGTATCAATACTTTATGAATAACTGTTAAGTGCTGTCACTACCTGTAGAGGGTTTCCAAGGCTATAAATCTTTTGAGGGAGCAGAAAGCCTCACCTTTCGCTCAAGTAGTGGCTGGTGGGCTCAAATCACTGACCTTGTGGTTTGCATTCCAGTGTTTAGCCTACAGAGTCATATAATTAATAGGAAAACCCCTAAATACCCAAAGTACTCATTTAAAAGCTTAAGCATCTCCTTCTTTGTATTACAATCATCTCTGGTACACTTGATATCAATTTTTCTCTTTTGAATATCATTATGAAAAACATGGTCTTTCAAAATTCAAATGATTTCTTTTGTTGTTAAGTGCAGTCAAGCTGATTCAGAGAGGCACCATGTATGGGTTTCATTTAGTAACAATTTGTGTAACTTAGCCAGTGGGAGCCTTCTTAGAAAGGAGGAGTCATCCTGATTTTTCCTATTCTAAAAATGTGGAATCAGCTCAAAGGCTAATGCCCTCAAGTTTACTCCTAGGAGCATGCTGGCTAGGTAGGATAAACACTGGACTTAGAACCACATGGTCAGTGGTGCGAATGGGCAAGAGAGAAAGCTTTCTGCTTCCTCAAACATTCACAGCCTGGGAAATGCTACACAGAGCTGCTATGAGTCAGAGCTGACTCAATGGCATTTAACAACAAACTTTAAGGAGCAGTCACTTAAGCACTGGGCTGCTAACTGCAAAGTCAACAGTTAAACCCACCAGCACGCTGAGGGAGTGAGTAAAGCTAAGGCTGTGTGCTCCCATACCGATTTACAATCTCGGAAACCCTCTGCTAGCCTCTAAAGTCTACAGGAGTCAGAATGAGTCAACAGCAGGGGGAGCCTTTCTAACCTGTAATCATCACCATTCCCTTCAAACCTCTTCTCTGTCGCTCATTTCCGTAAATGGTACATTTTCCAATCAGGAAAATGGTACATTTCCATTCAGTGATCTGAGTCATTCTTGCTGATTACTGCCTTCAACTTCTACTTGCAATCAGTCACCAAATACTGCCTCTTCTGAGTATTTCCATGGTAATTCTTCTCTCTTCAGTTTTGCTGCCACCACTGTAACTCAGCTGTTCACCATTTTTTGCTTAATTAATTATAACAGTCTCCTAATTGGTCTACTCAGGGCGTAGGTGGCTCCCTAGGATAAGCACTGGACTAGGAATCACAAGGTTGGCAGTTTGAGCCAACCAGTAGTTCCACTGGAGAAAGATGACGATTCTTGGTCCCACAAAGATATAAAGCCTCAGAAACCCTATACAGGGTTGCTATGAGTCGAAACCAACTTGATGGTACTTAGTCTAGCCAGTTCTGACTCATTAGGACCCTGTATAGGGCCTCTGAGGAGCAGCTGGTTGGTCTGAACTGCCAATCTGGAGGTTCAACCTGACCTTACTGTCCTACAGCACACCAGGACTCCTTTTGGTCTACTCACCCCTATCCTTGCCCTCCTCTAATACTACTTTACCACAAATATCCACAGTGGTATGGCCACTTATTCTGGGGTCCCCAAGATCATCCCCACATTCAGAGATTTACTACAAGGACTTAAAATTCTGCCTATAATGGTAATCATGGCTAAGGTTTATTACGGCAATGTAGTACAGAGACACAGACAGATCAAAAAGGAAAAGGACATACGTGGAATCGGACAGAATTAATGAGCAGGGTTCCTCATGTTTTCTACTTCCCATGAGGAGGTGACTCAGAGCACACTCCTGTTCAGCAAAGAAAACTTTGCAGCGTGTGTGCAAAGTTTCTGTCCAGGAAAGTTCATTAGAAATTCAGCGTTCAGAGTTTTTATTGGAGACTAGTCATGTGGGTACCCTCTGCCTAGCATGTATCAAAATTCCATACCCCCAGAAAGAAAGCAGGTATTCACAGCATAAATCATAATGTTTGCACATTCTGGATGTAGTTGTTGTTGTTAAGTACCGTGGAGTCGGTTCCGACTCATAGTGACCCTGTACAGGGTTTCCGAAGCTGTATATCTTTACAGGAGCAGAAAGCCTCATCTTTCTCCCGCGGAACAGCCCTTATCTCTTAGAGAACACTGGGAACCCTCCAGAAATCTTAAATTCCCAAATGCCAGTCAAAGGCCACTCTTGCAAGCAGGCCTGTCTATGGATAGCAGTCTCAGGCCTACAATGCCAACGCTGTTCTGCACACTCCCATTCTTTCTTTCCTGTCATTCCTTCTATTACTGTTGTTGTTAAGGGCCATTGAGT